TAAATAAAAGGGGCTCGCGGAAGCAAAAACAATAACCACTAATAGTCCAAAGAGCTGTGCATTTATATGAACATACATTACATGCCAAAAATGTCAATTTATCCACTACATTACATCACATATAATCAAAATTCATGTACAAAACATAGGCTCACGCCATATGCACAACCAAAACTAAGCTTCCTAACGGCCTTCCTAGGCCTAGCCCCAACCCGGAGGCACCAAAACACCGGGTAGGCTTCAAAACGGCGGCTCGGCTCGGACTCCGCCTAGGCTTGACTTCCAGAATGCTCACCTATAATACATAATTACAAACAATGAGCTAGAGCTCAGCAAGTAACATAACAGTAAAGAGGTTAGTGAACGAAGTCCGACATTTTCATAAATCCACAATAAATCAATCATAAACATATATCAGTCATCAGTCATCATAAGAACATACGTAATGGCATACTCCACAGACCCTTTCATAACAGTCTATCAGTCAACAGTCGACGAGATCTCGTAACTAGTCATGGGCTTGTCCTTCCATGCCGTTCCCCATGACTCATGACGCATGGGCCTGCATGTTCCCGCCCCCATGACCCAACTATCTATGGATGCCATACTAGATTCGCAAACTGGACATTCGTTCACAGAAAACATTTATCATTTCAAAACCCAAATCGTTTTAAGAAAAACAGATTTTTGAAAGAAGTGCCAAACATGGACTGCTTTGCCAAATACAGAGATACACGTTGTCATTAAATCCTGTAATTCATGCACTTCATTCTTTCCTTTACTTCATTTCATGTTCATTCTAATCTTTCTTTACTTTGATTCATACTCATTTCATGTTCATAAGATGATAAATGATGCAATTAACATGTTAAAATCAAGTCTGCAACTTCCCCAAAATTTTCTTGAAAAAGGCCTTCCCGCTCGAGCGCCACTTTGGCCGCTCGAGCGTACTGTAAAAAGTCCCAAAACTGCTGGGAGGCTGTTTTCACCGCTCGAGCGGGCTTCCCTTCGCTCGAGCGTACAGAGCAAAATCCGAATTTCTGGTTCTTCTTCCAAGCTTCATTCTCCTCTTTACAAAATCACTTTCCACATTTATGAAATCCAAGACCCAAAACACTTAAAACCCATTTTAAATCAACATCAAAACTTCAAATCAAAACCCATATGGGACAACAGAAATTCAAATCTTGGAGTAAAATAGAGAATCGTAAACTTGAGCATAAAAGCTTCATTTCGAAACATCCATGGAGGTTTCCTTCAACAATGCCAATTAACCATAAATCATACCATTTTAAAGCTATGATCTTGTGTTCAACATGCTAAATACCACGAATCAACAATCAATTTCATGGAAATCTTACCTTAACCACTTAGTTTGGGGAAGATTTGAGCTGAACCCCCTTTTCTCTTCTTCTTTCCCTTTCCTTTCTCTCTTCCCCGAGTTCTCTCTCTTTCTCTCCCTAGATATTCTCTTTTTCTTTAGTTTGAGTCAAATGAGTCAAAACATCCATCCTTATCTATTATATAACAAAATAAACCATTATGCTCAAAACACTTAAGCCAAACACGACTTACGAATCAGACGAAATTCAGTTCTCAATTTATTTCCTCAAATGGTTCTAAAAATCCCCGGTATCACATAGGCGTGCTCAATTTCGTTTTCTGAACCCATTACGGTCATCAATTTCAGTCCCGAAGTCGTAATCTCAACAGGATTGAAAAACCCCTCTCTTTCCTTCATAAACCCACGGCTGCTAGGGCTGCTAGTGTTGTGGAAAACAATTATAACAAGAGTTAGGGTTTGTGTTTATTTTATTTTATACTAGTAGTGGGTACACTTAGGTCAAATAGATAGATAAATATACAAAATACATATATAAGTTACATGCAACTCAAATGGTAAGAGCCTAACTTATTAATTATGTGGTCTAGAGTTTAAGTCACACCCTCTTCTCCATTTTTTTTTTAATAATAAATCTTGCTTCTAAATCAATGACTTTCACCATAAATTTATTTTAGGTTTAAAATTAATTGAAAGATCCTCCAATAATATTTAATTTGCACCTTAGAATTCACCACCAAAATATTTGAGATTGTAATATTATTATTTAATTATTTACTTAATTTTTATATTTGGGTTCTCACAAAATTTGCTCATTTAGAGAAGCCTCATTTGCTGTGCATAACTGATAAAGTCTAGGGAATTTATTACAAATACTTGAGTCCCCTATCCAATTATCAATCCAAAACATTATTCTTTTCCCATTCGCTATTGTTATTTCCATGTTATCCAAAAATAAGATATATAATTTTGGATTAGATTATGATACTTCCACTATATCCCTTCATATTTTAGAGGTTGTGCCTGCTATATTAGTAGATAGCAACCATCTCCCTCCAGCAGATCCATGCTTGCAGCACACTATTGCTTTCCGTAATGCATCATCTTCTATTGCAAACCTCCACCACCATTTGAATAGCATACACTAATTAGTGAGCCTGATATCTCTTATCCCCAGACCTCCTTTTTGCTTGTTCATTGTAATCTCCTTCCATTTTACTAAATGAATTTTCTTCCTAACTTCTGAACCTCTCCACAGAAATTTTGCTTGCAATCTATCAAGTTCCTTAGCAACATTTTCAGGAATCTTAAAAAGTGACATGCAATAAATTGGCAAAAAGGACAAAACAAATTTAATAAGAACAACTCTCCCTGTGAATGACATTTACTCTTCTTTTCCATCTTGAGAGCTTCTTTTTGAAATTGTCAATGACAGGTTTCCAAGAATATTTTCTGCTTGGGTTAGCTCCAAGTGGAAGACCAAGGTACTTGAATGGCAGTTTTTGAGTTAAACAATTAAGTTTTGTTGTAAACTCCAAAATCATATTATTAGCCGCACCAACCCCACATAACACACTTTTGTGGAAATTTATCATAAGCCCAGACACCACTTCAAAGAAACTCAAAATTCTTTTAATGGCAACCACTTCAGACCATTCTGCATTACACATGATTATTGTGTCATTTGTGTACTGAAAATGAGACGCACAAAACCCACCACTACCCACTTTCACTCCATTGATAATTCTTAATTCCTTTGTTTTCTTCAGCAGTATATTAAACCCTTCAGCTATAACATTGAACAATAGAGGTGAAAGTGGATCGCCTTGCCTACGAGGACAAAACTCTTCAGATAAAGATCCATTCACTAAAATAGACATTCTAGGTGAGGTAATGCACTCTTTTACCCAAACCATCTTGGTCCAAACCCAAAGTTTGCCAACATCTGAAGAAGGAAATTCCAATTCACCGAATCATAGGCTTTCTCAAAATCCAATTTAAGGATTAGTCCCCTCTTTTTAGATTTCTTTCACCAATCTACTACCTCATTTGCAATGAAAACCCCATCCAAAATGTTTCTCCCCCTCAAGAATGTTGATTGGACTTTATCAATTACATTTGGTAATACTTGTTTCAATCTGTTAGCTAGCACTTTAAACAAGATTTTGTACACAGAATTGATCAAACTGATTGGTCCATACTCCTTAATGAATGATGGGTTGTCTCTCTTTGGAATAAGGGTGCCAAAAGAGCAGTTTATTATACTATATCCCAATCTGTTGTTTTTATGAAATTCATTATATCTTCTTTCATCACCTTATAACCCTTCTGAAAGCACATCATATTGAAACCATCGAGCCCTGGAGCTTTATTCCCATCGCTCTGTCTAATTGCTTCCCACACCTTAGCCTCAATAAAGTCTTTTTTCAAAATTTCAGTGGCTTGAATAGGATTCACCTATTGAAAGTTTCCACCAATGATGGGTTTCTTCATCATTCATCAAATTGCTTCTTGAAATAGTTACAAATTGCTTGTTTGACTTCAGCTGGTTCTTCAACAATAACTTCATCAATCTTCATCGAGTTAATCATGTTTCTGTTTTGCCTCATAGATGCCATTATATGAAAAAACCTTGTGTTCTTATCCCCTTTTAATGTCCAATCTAGTCTTGACTTTTGTGTCAATAGTTTAGAGAGTTCATTTTTACGCTTCATAATATAGGGGGCCAAATTGATACTTTTCAATAATTTAAGAGGTCTCCATATAAATAATCTTAGGAAAAATTGTAAACTTGTTCAACTCACTAAATTAATGTCAATCAACTCAATTATCATTTTCTTTCAAAAATCCTAATTGACTTTATTAATTGGATCAAATTAATACAAAATTTAAAATTAAGAGTCAAAATCGAACTAATTAAAATTATAGAGACCAAAATAATTTAACAAACAATATACAAAGATTATCGATATAATTTACTTTTAATAATTTTATAATTACTAAAAATAGGCTTCTCTGCGATTTGCAGTCTCAAGGGTTTTATATTATTTGGGGAAATTGAACCTAACGAAGATTACTGATATAATTTATTTTTAATAATTTTATAATTACTAAAAATGCGTTTTATTACAATTCATGGCCTCGAAAATTTTATATTGATCGGGAGAATCAAACTTGGCCTCAAGGGCTTTATATTAATTGAAGGAATCAAACCAAACACCTAAAACAAAAGTAGATCTATAAGCCCCAAACCTCAAGCTGCTAAGCCAACCTTAAGAGGTTGCAAATAGAAACACCCACTAACAATTAAAAGCCTTTTTTTTCGCAGCAATGATAGGTATCATGAAAATAATCATGAAAACTTTGTAACCTTTGGTTTACACTTAGAATAAAGCATCACACACTAATCAAGGTAATCCAAAAATCGTAAATCTTTCATTATCATGTTCATGAAAAAAATTTCATCATCTTTTTTTCGTGGTCCCTCATTCACTGCTAAAATTAAAGCAGCTAAGTATCATCACCATACACGTCTCTCTAACAGAAGAGGCGCGTAATTTTCACTATGCTTTTCTTTTCATTGCTCATCACTCATATCAGCGTGGGGACTAGGGTGGGGACATGTATATATTGTATATATATACATATAACCCTTACGATGGATCACCAAATTCTGGCTGTGAAAAATCAAAAACAAAACAAAACAAAACAAAACAAAAATATTCAAGCTAGAATCCATCGGTCATCACTTGATCAAATCAAAATATGAAAATGGAAGGAAAGAAGCCCTACTTGGCAGTTATCCTGATACAGGCCATATATGCAGGCATGTTCTTGCTATCCAAAGCTGCATTTGATGTGGGTATGAACACTTTCGTGTTCGTCTTCTACAGACAGGCCGCTGCTACCGTTTTCTTAGCTCCTTTAGCCATGTTCTTCGAATGGTAATTAAATCTTGAAAATTTATCTTTTTATATCCTTTTATTCTTCTTTCCTACTATACTATACATACATATACTAGTGATGGTTTCTGTTGAGCTTTTATCTTCTTGTTTTGTTTTTTTTTTTGTTGCAAGGAAGAATGCACCAGCAATCTCAGGCATGACCCTCTTCAAGATTTTTATGCTTTCATTCTTTGGGTACGTACGCAGGTTTTGATAAAATTAATATTAAAAATTTTGATAATTTTTCATGCTTATGATGTCTATTTACATTGGCAATAATATTTAATGTGATACATATATGTTTTGTTGAGCATTAATTCTTGAATCTTGAGTACTTGTGCTCCAATTTAATTTCAGTATTACTTTGAGCTTGAATGTCTATGGAGTTGCCCTTATATATACATCTGCAAGTTTGGCTGCTGCAACTACAAACTCTCTTCCAGTCATTACTTTCTTCATTGCAGTCTTACTCAGGTAATTTTTATTTTTATTTTTTTGTTCTTGCACCACTCCACACACTCTCTTCCTTGTTTCATTTACTTCAAAAGTTAAGGTTCAGTATTCAGGAGTCCATGGATCATGATTCTATGGTTTCAAGCACAAAGGGCTTGTTTATCGCAATTTATTGCAAGTTCAAATGCATACAAAGGGCTTGTTTATCGCAATTTATTGCAAGTTCAAATACGTAGGGCTTGCATACTGCAAGCTATAAGCTTAATCTAAAATCAACCCCTTAACTTCAAATTCATTTTAAACTTTTTTTTTTTTTTTTTTTTTTTTTTTTTTGAGTGACTTGAACTCAATTTGTTTTTTTTGTCTTTTTTTCAATTTATTAAGCTATATTGGTATATAATATAGCATGTGATGTGCTTCTACTTAGTATTTCATGAATTTAAAGTTGTATGCTGATACTGAAAGGAAATACTTCATGGGAAAGAGTTTTGTCTACCCAGGAAGGAAGGATCGTTAAAAGATGGAAGGTTTGTTTATGTGATGAGTCCATAAACTCAGGTCAGGTGTTCTTGTTTATCCGCAAAAAAGAATAATTTTATTGATGAAAAAAAGGTATAATTACAGCTAGTACAATACATTAATAAAGAAAGACTAATGTATAGATAGCATCATAACAAAGCAATCCAATCCCAATTAGATTGGCACGGAATAATCCAACCAATCATCTGCTAGCGCTAAATCAAAAGTTTGTGAGAATCCAATTGAAACCAAAATAAACAAAAACAAAAACAGAAAAAGATTAACTCCAATAATTCAGGTCTGGTGCTTGCCTGCCGCCTTTATGCATCAAGATAGTTTTAAATGGTTTTTGTAGTTTATGGCATTAACTTTTTTTTTTTTTGATCAGTAAAACAAAGCTTTGTAGTTTATGACATTAACTTAACTTTACTGGTACAATTGGGCATGATTTGGCTCCCTAAAGATGCTTCATTAGTGGTTAGTATCTTTTAATACTTTGATTAGTTTATTTTATCCAATCTATTTCTTTTCTTTTTTTAGGATTAATTGTACTTTTGGTTCTTTGACTGTGTTTTGTCATTCTGATTCCAACATAACAGGTGTCAATATCTTCTCCAAAAGTAATAGAAAAATATTATTTTGCCCCTCAAACTATCACGAGTTTTTCATGTTGACCCCCATATTTCAATTTATTTAAATTTAGTACCTGAACTTTTCACAAATTGATCAATTAGACCCTTGCCCTCACCTTCCGTCTATAATTGGACAGAATGTGTTAACGTGACATTTAAAATTTCATTTTACCCCCAAACTATACCTTAAAAATCAATTTAACCCACAAATTAAAAATTAATTTGCCCCCAAACTATACTTTAAAAATCAATTTGCCCCCCACATCAGCACATTCTATCCAATTGTAGACGAAAAGTGACGACAATTGATCAATTTGTAAAAAGTTCAAGTACTAAATTGAAATAAATCGAAGTATACGGGTCAATGTAAAAAACGCGTGATAGTTTGGGAAGGAAAATAATATTTCTTCAAAGTATTAAGTATCTTTTAAAGTGATCCCGATCATGTTGTCAATATGCCTCGTTAAAAATAGAAATACGTTTGGAACTAAAAATAACATATTAACACAAAAAAAAAAATTGTTAATTGTACTTTTATGCCTTAAGTATGAGATTAATTTGTGTCAATTTATAAATTGCAGATTGTATTATTATCTTTTTCTTTTCTTTTTTTTTTTTTTTTTTTTTTTTTTACTTGAAATGGAAATTCGGGGGATTCGAGTTCCCCCCTTTTCGGGGGATGAATCACGGCCCTTGTACTTTTATGCCTTAAGTATGAGATTAATTTGTGTCAATTTATAAATTGCAGATTGTATTATTATTATTATGACCTATAATATGTTGTTTGGGTTAACTTCACTTTTACCCCTATGCTATTATCATTTTTTTCTATTTCATTTGTAAATTATCAATTTTAACTAGTTAGTTCCTATAGGCCCTTATTTCAATTCATACGGCTCAATTGGAGATAGTCCATCCAAATTAATATTAGTAATGGTGGAAACCTAACCCAAAGTGTAAAAATATAATTTTATAATTTGAATAATTTAAATCATATAACCAAACACCCATCTTGTTAATAATTTAAAGTTTTAGAAATAGAAATTTAGAGATAAAATTTTGAGTAAATTACACTAACCTCACCAGAGGTTTGAAGAAAATACACTAAGCTCCACAAGTTTTGCATAATTACACTAGACTCCTTTAAGATTTTAATTCATATAATACTTAATCCCCTTTTCATCAAAAATTGGTTATTCATTTGAATGAAAAAATTGTGTTACCATCTTTTTTTATATTGAAATGTATATTTTATCTTGTGTATCTTTATATCTTAATACCATTTATATTAATTTTGATCTCTTTAACCTTACTAAAAGAGATATTAGTGTAATTATGTAAAAAATGTGAGGCTTGCTATATTTTCTCCAAACCTTAAAGGAGGTCAATGTAGTTTACCTAAATATTTTATTATCAAAAGTGTCATTATTGCATGTTTTCCGATGAAATTGGATATTTAGTGATTAATTACTATCTTTTTGGAATCATAATTTTTGTGTTAAAAAATAAACATTTTGAAACCAAATTATTTTCTTCCTAAAACTACATTATTAGTGATATTTTTAAAATTTTGTCACTAAAAATCATTTTTCCTTACTTTTCTAGACAACATTTTATTTAAGTTAGTTGCTAAAATATCGTCTTGAAGATGACATTTGAAGACGGCATTTAGGTTCCGAAGTACTTTTTGAGATTAGGTTCCAACTCACCAAGCGAATGTTCCTAACGAATTTTCCTTCTTTTTGAGATTACCTTTGTCACTAAATATTTGTATGGTTTAAATTACATAAATTTTAAAATAACATTTTTATCATCAAAATAGACTTTAACAGAAACTGTTTGTAGTGATTTTGAAAAGCCTCAAAACTTGAACTTATTGTTTTCAAACCGTTCTTGAAGTAATCATCCACCTAGCTTTAATCATCCTCCCAAAAAGAATTGTTAGCAAAGCCATCTAAATTTTTAACAAGAGATATTCTAAGAAAAATAAAAAAAATTGATGCACTAACGACCTTTGGGAACAACGAAAATACAGTCTGTACATTCTTTAATTAAAGGATTAATTAGTGAAAAGTTCATTCCTATATATAGAGTCATATGTTATTTAGTGTAAAGTTTAATTTTTATTATGATAAAGACACGCATTGAGAAACCATCAGAAAAGTCACTAGCACCAAAAAACTTGCCAGAAAAGTCACCGACACCTGAAAGTCGGCGATAGTGGGCAGTAGGCTGCGGCTTAGTTGGACAGATATGTGACATTAAACAGATAGGTGACACGCGTACAAATAGGTAACATTTAAACAAATAGTTAGACATTTAAATTAATAGTTTGACAGATAGGTGATGCGTGTATAGATATGTGACGTTTGAACAGATAGACAAATAGGTAAATTTTGAACAGATAGGTGTCATTTTGGAGAAATGAGAATATATTTTTGGTCCAAAAATATTTAAGCTTAAGCCTATTGACTCAATAATTTTAGAAAAGTATAGAGAAGAGCTAATTTTATGGTAATGACTTTTTGGTAGTAACTCTTTAACTATTTTAACTGGTTCCCAAACTTTGCTAATTAAATAAGTATTAGAATATGGATACAGCTTCTCCAGTTCAGAATTGGACTGGACAATGTTGCTGGCCTGCTGTGGACCCGATTTTGGGTCCATCTTGATTATCTAAACCGTTCAGTTTGTAAAGCTCGTCGAGTACATTATTCTTGTAAAAAATTATATTGATCGGATATCATTAACCAATTGACCTGATTGCATTTGTTTCAACGGTAATTATGATTTTAAAAATAAATCATAAACACAAATGCACTATGATCACGTGACTATCAATGTCCGATTAACGTGATTTTTCGCAGGAATAATGTACTCGACAAGTTCTACATATTCACGATTTTGATTATCAATATGAGCCCAGAGTCGGGCCCACTGAAGCCCAACAATATTATCCAATCCGTTTTCGAACTGGAGAGAAATTGTTCTCTAAAATATTAAATATGTAATTGCCTTAATTATGATTAGAATTTTACAATTCACTATTCCCTTGTCTCACATTGGCAAAACTAAGGCTATGGAAAATATTACTCAATATGCACTAATCTGTCTGCTAATTGTGGGTTAGTTTGATTTATGGTTTGAAATTTATAATTTGAACATAATTTTTTTTACCACTGATGAAATATCAAATTAAAAATTTGTATAAGAGAGATTTAAGATGTAAAATTTATTACAAATTAGTGTTACATATATATATAACATATATAAACAAAATATTATGTAAATTAATATTATATATTACACAAATGCTTGATAATTATTTAAGATTATTATTCAAATAACTAATAAATTAAAACCGCTCAAATCACAATTTAATTATTTATCAATTTACCGTTCACAATTTAATTTTATAATTTGACCCTAAACTTACAGCATCAAATCGGACTATGCATACTTCTAGGCAAAACAATAATGGAAGGGATACTTCACTTTTTATAAAAAGCTTATGCTTTAATCTTTAGTCCCACATTGTTAGAACAAAAATGTAATATTCAACCTTCTATCGAAAAAAGCATAAATGGTTACTTTTCAAATTGAAGGACGGTCACTTAAAAGAACAAAACTTTAAAATATTGTTGTATTCCATTGTATATATGAGTTGGAGTTTATGAAAGGTCAGGACCAAGGCCGCTTATGGTCTAAATAAAGTACCGTAATAATTTACAGAGGTGTGATTTATAGTTTTTACACATAAATATGTAAAGTAAGAATGTAGAGATTTGATGCTCTTGCACTCACTCTTTGTATTGATGTATAATATTTGTCTTGTTTATGTTTTCTCATCAATAAAATTTTCTTTTGCTAATAAAAAAAATTATAATCAATGTCAAGATTAAGAAAATTGATAAAGGAATATTGCTTAATCTGCTCGAATAAACAGTAGTCAAGTAGGGATGAACATTGGTTGGGTTAGGTCAAGTTTGTAAATTACTTAGTCCATCATTGGATCTAATCTAGTATCTAAAACATGATCCTAAGACTGTATTTAATTCATGGATATGAATAAAGATTTAGGAATTAAATAAAAATGGGATAGATGAGTGAAATGTAAATGAAATATACATTTCACACATTTTTTACATATTTTTTCTTTTCCTTTTTCAAATTCCTACCTAAATCTATGAACCAAATATAACCTTAAAAAATTACTATAAATTTTAAATCCACCCACCTTATTGATATGCTTCTAAATATTTTTTTCGCATTAAATGAATTTGGTCCACTTTTTATAAACGGATAAGCCGGGCTAGGAAGGATCAAATAAGAATCTTGATCCCATATTCAGCCGAAAAGTAGGTTCAAAATCTCAACTTAACAGACATTATGAACTAAAAAAATTTCTTATGCTCTAAAAATGATAATATATGCAGGATGGAAATGGTGAAGTTGAGGACAACCCATGGGATTGCAAAAATTGCAGGGGTAGCAATCTGCCTAGGTGGTGCTGCAATCATAGCCTTGTATAGGGGCCCAAGTTTGAAACTCTTGCTACATCATCACCTCTTTGAAGTACACCATAAGTACAGCAGCACCCAAGATGATCAAGTCCCTTCTACTAAAACATGGATAAAAGGATGCTTCCTTATGCTCATGTCTAATACTTTCTGGGGTTTGTGGCTTGTATTACAGGTACCTACCTACCTACCTACCTTTCTTCATTAAGCATATCCTCATACCAATGCATCTCAATAGTCACATAAAACATAAACAATTGGAAATTCAGCATTAGCAAGCATGTTACTTAATTTATATCGTATTTAAGAGTATGATAAATGACACTCATGTCCCTAAAAGTTGAAAAAACATATAGTCAATCCTACTGCGGGACATTGAAAAGATCGACCAACCAACTCACTCCCGTCTTACAGTATGAATCGAGTGAGTGTCTAGATTTGGCAATAATGTAAAAAAATCTACTTATCTAACAAAATGTTGAACAAAAACCATGTCACTAGATCTGGAGTTGTTACCTAATCTTTTTGAGAAAACTAAAAACCCTTACTCCAAACTATACATATGGGTCGTTGAACTAGTACAATTATAAATCTTTGGTCCGAGAGTTTAGATATGAGAGAGAAATGTCATGAATTGAGCACACCCAACTCAGTTGATCGAATTATCAACTTCTACTAATTCTTGATAAAAGATTCATTGTCAAATACGGTTATGTTCCAATTATTAAAACTAACTTTTCTAGTGAAACAAACAATAGGACAAATGACATGTTTTGGAATGCGTCTATCCCCTTGCTTCTTGGAAAAACAAAGGCTCTGTTTAGTTTAATTTTTGAATTATGATTTAAGTTGAGTTATATTTTGAGTTTTGAGTTTTTGAAAAGAGTTTCGTTATGAGTTTTGAAAAGAATTTTAAATTATATTTTGAATTTTGTGTTTTTGAGTTTTGAGTTGTATTTTTAAAAAAAAAATCAGTTTATTTTTTTTTTAAGATTTAAAAATTTTCTTAATTTTATTTTTTTAAGGTAAATATTTTTTATTGTAAATATTTATTTTTTTAATGTATGTTGTATTTACTATATTTATGTGCTATATTTGTTTTAAATATTTTAAAATTTATTTTTTATTTTAAATATATAATTTTTATTTTAAATATTTTTTTAATTTTTTTATTTTAAATATTTTGTTATATTTTTTTAATATTTTAAATATTGTTTGAAATTTTTTTATTTTTTTACTTGTTGAATTTTTTTTTAATTTTAAAAGTTTTTGAATTGCCCATATATATCTAAATCATAACAAATTATTTGGCCAATAATTAAAAAAAATAACAAAATATTTTTTTTGGAAAAAATAAAAAGTATTTTTCTTCAAAAAATATCTCTTGAAAAAAATATTTTTTTTAAATAGAGTTTTTAATAGAGTTTGGTTATGGGTTTTCAAAAGAATTTTTTAATTGAGTTTTAAGTTGTGTGTTTGGTTATGAGTTTTGAAAATAATTTTTCAATTGAGTTTTTAGTTATCTTTAGTTATAAATTTTGAAAAGAGTTTTAAAATTTTTTAATCCAAATCACGATTCCAAAACAAAATCAAATGCTACCAAAGTGTTTTGATAAGTGTTCTTCCGACAAGAAAATAAAAATAAATAGGGAAATTTGGTTAAAAGTATCTAGTAAAAAGCGTGTATTGCTTGAACTCCAACATAAATTTTCTTCATCCATAAAGTACCTTAGTTTTATTTGGCTGGGGCTTGAAGGACATGCATTGGCATTTGACTCAGATTTGCTTTGCAATCTACAGATTACATATATATATATATATATATATATGTATGTGCCATGAATCTAATTGCAATGGAACAAAAAATAAAATTAAGCGAAACTAAAATCAATAAAAAGCTCCATATTTTCTTTCTAAAATCTAACCAATGAAAAGTTAGAAGAGAGTTTGACCTCTTCCGTGGATACATGGAAGGTTTTATGTGTGTATATACATTGTTGCTTTTTTATTAATTTGTAAATATGATAGTAAAATTTCATTTTTACTTGATGTGGTTACTCTTTAATATGTACTCTATTGTTCTCAAAATATATATATATATATATATATGCACTCTTTTTTCTTTTTCTTTTGCTGATTTTTTGTTCAACAATGACAGTAAAATTTTACTGTAATAGTGTATTTTTGAGTTATTTCTTCTGTTATACAAACTTTATTGTGAATTAAAGTAAAATTTATTGTAAATCAGAGTAGGATTTTACTATAAATCAAAGTAACATGTTACTGTAAAATAGAATAATATATCACTGTCAAATACAGTAACATGTTACTGTTAATATCAATTTTGACGGTAATAATATATATATATATATATATATTTTAAATTTCATAATCAACATGGATCTTATTTGATAAATCTTGATGAGAAAATTTTAAAAATACTAATTTTATTAAAAATCGACATCTAGATCAAAAGTTATATTATTTTAAAGTTTAATATTTTGACAATAATGGTATGTGTTGGACTTTTTAAGAAAAACTTTTTGTATATGCTCTTAATGTACTAAAATTTTATTATAAGAGGGTTTTGACCAATCTCCCCAAAAAAATAGAGACGAACTTGTATAGAAGAGATAAGAACGCTTCAAACTTAGGAAAAATATCTTCCAAACAATCATAAAGATATCATGCAAGCATATAAGTTCATAAAAACATTTTTTTTACATAGAAAGTAAAAGCGAAAACATGCAAGGTGCAGAGGAAATGAGAGAGAACTCTTTTTTTTGGGTGAATAAAATGAGAGAAAACTCACGTGGTACTCATTCATACCAAACCAAAAGAAACAGAATTAGAAATACAAGAAGAAAAAAATGCATGAAAAAAGAGCTAATGCAAAAAAAACTCATAATCATGCAAAGCTATAGGCCTGATTGGCACTAGAATGTCATATGGAGCATCTCAAACTAGAAAATCAACCAACGCAACAATATAGCAACATTACCTATAAAAAAAAAAAAAAAAAAAAAAAAAAAAAAAAAAAAAAAAAAATCGATTAACCGGACTTAAATCCATAAACTAGATTGTCAACATGCTAAAAGAATGCAATAAAGAGAGAAAACGAGAAAGCAAAGATAGAAATAGCTAAGATCTACTCCTAAAACATAAAAACTGACATGGATTTGGTTCAAAATAAGACCAATTCACATGACAACTCAAATCCACAAGATAATCAACAAGAAACAATAGATCTAACCATTATCAAAGAGATGGAACATATTTGGAAACTAAGAAAAGAAAAAGTGAGGATATACCTCTTGGTTTGGAGGTTGCAAAGCAATAGCAAGAGGAGATGATACAAGAAGGTAGACAAAGCTTCAATGCATCTCTCAAGTGTGCTTCAATGGAAGTCTTCAATCTTCAAGATCCAGCTCCCAGTGGTAGAGAATATGGCTTGTCGAAGAAGATGAGAGCTCTTGAGTATATTTTGACAGAGTTTTGGCACTATGAGAGTCCCCCACTTTCTTCTCAAGGATTTGGGGTTATATATAGGCTAAGGAAGTGATATAGAGCTAGCAATACGTCACATATCTGGAATATTCCAGCCTCTAGAGGAAATCACTGTGAGAAACAGCTGTTAGCTGAAAATTTACTGCGGCTGCAAATAATAACCCGTGGCTGGGGGTGTTTGGTGGGAGTCCAGATCCCCTCCTTGAGCCCCTCCTTCATTCCCTCCTTGCAGGGGCCTTCGGGTCCACTTTGAGGCCTAGTTTTGATAATCTAAACCGTTCATATTTTTAGATTTATTCAGTATATTATACCTGTAAAAAATCAAGTTGATCGAATATCAGAAAGTATGCGTTCAGAAAATTGGGACTACAAACTATTTTTTAATAAATAGTTTTCCGAACACATACTTTATGATATTCGATCAACTTGATTTTTTACAGGTATGATATACTGAATAAATCTAAAAATATGAACGGTTCGGATTATCAAAACTGGGCCTCAAAGTGGACCCGAAGGCCTTACAAGGAGGGAATGAAGGAGGGGCCTCAAGGGGAGGATCCCAATTCGTTTGGTGGAGCTTTTTTGAGCCAGTTTATGGCTTCTGGTTTTTAAAAAGTTATTTTGAACTGTTTGGTTAAACTTATTTCAAACAGCTTCTGATTCTAACAACTTATTTTAAGTCAAAAAAACTGATTTTGAGAAGCTGCTCACCCCTTGCTTCTGATTATCAGCTTCTGCTTTAGACATATTAATTTACGGTTATACTCTTAGATTTTTTTATTTTTTTATTTTTTATTTTTTTAAAAATAGAAAAAGACCCAAATGGACTATAAAATGTTATTATTATTTTTTATGAAAAATGTAGACAAATAGTGAATAATAAAAAATAAAAAATAAAAATTAATTGAAAAAGCTACTTCACAACTTATTTAACAAACGCTACTCAGCAACTTAAATCTATAATCCAACAGCTATATCAAACAGATTAACAGATTCTGATTAAAGTCATAATCTATAATCTGTTAAGTTATAATCTATAATCTGTTTTAACAGTTACACCAAACAGCACCGCTGTAAGCAACTTCTTGCAGTCTCTTGTTCCTGGGAGACTAGGAACTTGTGGTCACGAGTCTATACTTGTAGTCATGAGTGCAAACCTGCGGTCGTGGGTTTTGCTAGGTCGTTGGTATATTTGCTCAACCAATATTTCTCTTTTTTCCATAATTGTTTTGAAAGAAACTTGATTTTTGTCTTTTTGAAAAGAAAAGTTTGGATTAATCGAACATGTGAAGCGACTGTTTTCAATAACTCTTTTGAAGGAAAAAAAAGTTTTTGGGTCTTGAAAACGTTTTGGCTAGAGTTCGGGATCTAACCACTTTAGAGTTGTTTCAAAAAGCCATAATCGTTGATTTCTTCTTTCATCATTGAGGAGCATTAAAGGAGTCCAAGTCTTAGAACTGGTAAAAAATAAAATGTCTACACCTTTGTCTTTTTTTTTAGTAAGGCTAAATTAATCGAAACTAATGCAGATAATAGATAGATATTAAAATAAGTAAAGATAAATATACGTTCTACTATAAATAAAAAATGATAATATTTTTTTTTTATTTATACAACTAACGAATTACAGATGAAAAATAACTTAATTATTATGTGAATTAAAGCCTCAAGAAAGATTAGTGCAATTATGTCAAAACTGTAGGACTAACTGTATTTTCTCCAAATCTCAAAAGAGGTGATTGTAATTTTCCTTAATTTTTAAGTGTGATATAAATTGTGTTATCAAACACACGATTTATTTTCATTGTGTACTGTTAATTTTGGATTAATTACATAAAATGGTCCCTAAAGTATAATACTTACTTCATTTTGGTTCATAATCTTTAATATGTATCAATTACATCTTTCAAACCCTACGTTAACTTTGATATAAAAACATAAGAAATTTTTTTACGTTAGCCTCACATTTTTTTTTTATCGCAAAATAAAAGATATATTGATGAAAAGAGAAGTACAAACAGTACAACTAAATAGCGTCAATAAGAATGGCTTAGGATAAAAGCATGATTGTTTAAACAGTGATGATTTAGATCTCTAAATATTGAGCTCTAAATCCATCACTAGTGAGGTGGAAATGGCAAAAAAAAAAAAAAAAAAAACGAGACACAGCACTGACTGTGGCAGTGGGTGGAATCTAATTAGAGGTCTCAAGCTTTATTATTGTTTAAAAAGAACATGCCAACAAAGTTGGCATACCCAACAAGCCAATCAAAAGCATTAGATAGTTGAAGGGCATTAGGAGAAGTTTATCTCATTTCCTGCCTAGACGAATAGCGCAACAAGTGAAGTGCACATATACGCCTTTCATTCCATTGCTGAGAACCAAATACATAGCAAATTTAGTTTTTTTTTTCTTATTATTAGTTTTACATTAATAGACGTGTTAAAGTGTCCTTAATGGCCTTTCAATATTTGTTGTGAGGTTTGGGTAATCATTTGTCTTATGTTTTTAAACAACAATTAAGTGGAGGGACTAATGTGTGAGGTTTAAGGATGCATTTGATACAAATTAAAGATTTAAGGACATAAATGAAATAAGTGCTAAACTTTAAGGACCTTTTGTGTAATTTATGTTTCAGTTTTAAGTACTTAATTGAGTTTTTTTTAAAAAAAAAAAAAAAAACATCCCCAAAGTTACATTTTCAACTTCTGAAAATGTCGTAATGATTTGATTATGATTGATTGAAGCAGGCTCGAGTGATGAAAAGTTATCCCTCAAAGCTTCTCTTCACAACTCTCCAATGTTTTTTTAGTTCAATCCAATCACTTATCATTGCCATTGCTTTGGAAAGAGACCCTCGTCAATGGAAGTTGCAATGGAATGTCAGACTTGTAGCCGTTGCATATTGTGTAAGAAGAAAATGATGTACTTTATAGTATTTATCTTTCATCGGCTTATATATATATATATATATTTGTGGCTTAAATTGAATATATCAAGGAATTAGATGAAAGAAAAGGAAATTGAAGACAAAAGATAGCTTATATTTTATTTACTTTTTACTATTTTTGTATTTTCATTCGTAAATTCCTTTTAAAATTCAAGATCACGATCATGTTTTACTTAAATATATGCATATGAAGCAAAAGATGTGAATGAAGTGCCATGGTCTCAAAACTAACTGAAATTCGTTATAGGGAATCGTGGTGACTGGAGTTACATACTACTTACAAACATGGGTCATTGAGAAGAAGGGACCGGTGTTCCTAGCCATGTCTACACCATTGGCTTTAGTCTTTACAATCCTTTGTTCTGCAATCCTCCTAGGCGAGATAGTTACTTTGGGAAGGTGATCTGCTTTATCTGCTAACGCACAAACTCAACCTTTAATTTGGTGCTCTGATCCGTAATTCAATTTCTTTTTACACTTATTTATTTTGATTGTTTCCTTGTTTATGGTTGTAGTGTTTTGGGATCCATTTTGCTGGTTGGAGGGCTTTACAGTGTTTTGTGGGGAAACTTATAGTATAGAGGAGATGATGATGGCTGATGAGATTTGTTTAACCAATGACGCCGAGAAAGGATGCTCAAACGAAGCAGAACCTACCAAAAGCCCAACAATTGTTTTTGTATGACTTATGCGTTTGCATTCAAATGCTGGCAGTTGGCACAATAATGTCATTCAAAAGCGTAGTGAGAATCTCCTGTCCTTAAAAATGTTTGTTTTCTTACCCCAAACCTTATATCCACCAAAAGATGTATTAATTTTCAATGAAAGTTGTTTTAACAGATCATGCGGTGAGAAAAAAACATAGGACAATGAATCATAAAATTAAGAACGAAAGATCATCATGTGCCTTCAAATCATGGGTACACATAGTAGAGGTGGGGGAATGTTTCTTTTTTCACTTCTCTTACAAGTTAGTAAAGTAGAAATCTTGGGATAGATATATATATATATATCATACCCATTTGCAACCTAGTCATGATCAGCATGAGTGGGTTGCTTAGCTTTCATGGTGTACAATTTTGGATAAGTGAGCTGAACTGAAGATCATACATGCCCTGGTGGTGCCTATCAAGAGTACATGCCCTGTTTGGGTTCAATCCTTCATTCATGTGCCAAACAACACACACACACACACAGAATTCATGAGTTAAACTTGCAAGTGAAACATACAACCTAAATACTGGTATCCAGCTGATAGGACACGAGAAGAACTCATGACTTAAACTTGGAAGTGAAACATACAACCCAAATACTGGTATCCAGCTGATAGGACACAAGCAGAATGACTTCCATTCTATTTCAAAACCTATATTTTCTGCCAAAATGACAATTTCATTAACCTCAAATTTCGCACTTTCATAAAATATCTCGGACTCGATGTAGCATAAATTTCACCCATTGGGATGTAAGACTATTTTATATCTTTCTTGCTTCAACCCAATAGGAATTGATGCTACAGTCTCAACTCAAATACAAGTCAAACTCAAAAACACATTTTGCATGTAAAACAGGCAATACAATCTACAAACATCAATTTATTTAGACTAACAAATGGATAGGTCCAAAAGCAAAAATAGAAGGGTGGGAATAGGAAAACTCAATGAAAAATAGAAATAAAATTTACTGAACAATAACAACCAGTCTTTTCTGACATCCAATAACCATATACCAACACACTCAGACCACTTGTCTTCTGCAAACACTACTCGCCTGCTTGCTTCCACTACAAGACACATAAATGCTAGTTCTTCCTGTTGTATATCACCAAATCCTCCTCTACCACATTCATGATGCTCTCAGTAACAATTCAGTTATCTGCCTTTGTCTCTTTCTCCTTGGTGATTTCAGGTTTTTCAGTCACTGTAGCTGGTTTTTCTTCTACTACTATCTTTTCCATCGGTGTTTCAGGATTTTGAGTCTCTGCATCTGGTTTCACTTCCACTATTTTCTTTTCCTCTGGTTTTTTCATCTCTAAAACCGCTGGAGACTCAATTGCTTTCTCGGCCAAGGTTCCGGTAGTTGGTGCAACCTCAACTGCTTTCTCTGCTTTGGCCCCCACAGGAACTTCAACAACTAATTCCCTTGGCATCTGCTCAACTGGAGTTTCAGTTTTTCCAGATTCATGAGGCTTTGTTTCAGGAATGTCAGTAGGTTTTAGATTTACCAATGGTTCGTCTTGTTTTGCTGAATCAGATTCAGTTGAGTCCTTCCCTTCATTCTGCAAAAAAAAAAAAAAAAAAAGAGAGAGATAGGGCATAAGGGGACATTATAACAGCAATTGAAGTAAATATTTGATGTAATGGTGATACACGTGACAATATCACTATTCCATGAACAACCTCACTTCGCAGTAGGGATCACAAACATTATTGTGTTCGTGGAGACAAAATTTATCCACGTAATCCATTTGCAATTTTTACACTATTTTTTCCAACTACCGAGGCTATTTGGTGCAACTTATAAAATTACTTATAGCAGCTTTTCTTTTTCTTTTTCTTTTTTTTTGTAATTTGAATAAAAAAATATTTTAAATAAGCTGAAAAGGCTAATTATTAATAAGTAGGGGAAAAAAAAGTATTTTTGGCTTCGGCTTATTGAGGATTATCAGCTTTCAGCTAGCAATAAGTTATAGAAGAAAAAAGCAGAAGAAAAAAGGAGGGTGGTGGAGTTAATGAGAGTGCGCAAGTCATCATCACTGCCCATCTTTCACCTCTTAGTTAAAATATTCCATTGATCAGATCATCAACTGAGGGAATGGCTTTTAGAAAAGTATGCTTTGTAAATTGAAACAATCAATATCGGCATCCTATGCTGCATACCCACCAACCAAAAAAGTCTTTCTATTGCATTCATCAGCAGTCATTTTCTATGTAATAAATTAATAATCTAAAGATTTAACCTCCCAGACAGACAGACTGGAGATAAATCTACAGTAATTGAATTACATATGCATTCAAAAAATCTAGATCTGGGATTCAAAACTTAAATTGTAGGTCCTGTGCCTGCCCATAAGAAAATGGAATTGAGTTTTAACACTTCAATTTAGAAATTTTTTATATATAGAAAGTGATCCTTTAGAATATTCTTTGCTAGCAAATCTAAAACACTCCCAATTGTTTTATCAGCGCAGAAGGAAACTATGACAGCCACAACCAACCACTAACGCTTTTGCTAAAGCATTACTTTCATGGAATAATACATTTTTAATACCAAATTGCTTAACAAGTGGATCGTAAATTACTTTTAATACCAAAAAGATTTTAAAAGTATTAAACCCATCCTGAGCAGATGCCCTTAAAAGCCCTCCTTAATACTACTATTGACAACACATTCAAATTCAACGAACAATCTCTGGATCCTTTCTCTTGGGGGATATTTGGCAATTGGCTAAAATAACTAAAAAAATTAATACTAAAAGTCAACTCATTCTCTCTATTTTTTGAACGTCTTTTCATAAAAAATTAAAAAGTAAAGCCAATTTCCAAACGAAACCAACCCTTAATAGGTGGTTAAGTTAATACCGACAGCAGGTATATAGTATAGTACGAAACTGAAACCACCCACCCAACTAATTATGTGGTCTTCCAGGAATTCCAAGGTGATCCATCAAATAGCAAGGAAGTAGCAAGGAAGGTATACTAACGTGGCCTCAAAAAATTGGAACAGCATGGAAAAATAACAAAACATTATTGGTTGGATATACAACCACGTACTGTTCCCAAAATGCTTGATAATTTCTGAACAGTGACTGCAACAAAACAACCCCATTCAAAAAATCCTAGCAACTCGTTCAAAAAAACACAAATCCTTGCAACATCTCTAACGTTCCATAGTTCCACTCTAGGACATGAAGGAAGAGGAGACATTAAAATGAAGACAAATCTTAGTGATATAGCTTTCACAGGTTAAAGTTATGTTCCCCACAGAAAGATAAAGTGGGAAACAACAACAATTAAGAACAAACAAGTGGGTGGGTGGGACCCTAGCCTAGACCTGTTTCTTTGTTGTCAAATAAAGATCCAATGGATGGTCAAAGATCCTTACACTGATTCTAACCAAAGCAAGAAATCTGTCAACTTTACTGCAAAAGATGACTAAACAAACACAAATGCTATGTGCCAAAAGAAATATTAAGAAGAGTGCAAGAAATTGAGGTTATGGTAAATATTAAAAGTTACATTTTTGTGATAATGGATTTGATTTAATTTTTTTTCAAATATAAAAAAAGAAATTAAAAATTAACAAAATTAAAGAGATGGACCAGATTGAATAATGGTACGACCATACAGTCACATAATTTTCCGAAAAATAATAAATGATAAAGCAATAATAAAATTTAAATTAAAATGAGCAGAACCAAGTCCAACCGGAGAATCATAAAAAATTGAATAATCTAAAGAAAATCGAAATAAAATACTGAGAACAAATTTCTTCACGACTAATTACAATTTGAGAAGAAACAGTATCGATCATGATGAACAATCGGCAATCGATCTGAGTTTGAAAGTAACATGAAAATGCAAATTGTGATTAAAACATGAAAGAGAGAAAATAAAATCAGAGTAATTTGATACCAAATTAGATACCAACCTCCTTGAACAAGTTACTGAGAGATCGGCGCTTGTTAGGATGATCGTCAAGGGAGTCGTCATCATCAACAATCTCCTTGTGTTTGCAGAAAACAGTGTCGCCTTCGACTGTCTTCACTTCCTCTGCAACCACCACCTCCTTTGTCTCCGACACCGTGCCGCCAGCTTCTTCCTTTGCCGGTGCCGGTTCCGGCGGCGGAGCCTCGTTCTTCAACTCTTTCGGCTTCGTCGCACAGCCTCCCATTCTCTCTTTGTTCGTAAAATTGGAGAATCGAAGACCAAAAGTGGGTGATGAGTCGTGGAGTTATTTAGTTTTATAGGGCGCGAGAGTTCAGTGTTTGTTGCTCCGACATTCGTTCATTTATGAATTGATTGAATGAATTACTGACAGACGGACCGACACTGGAAATATTTTAAAATTTTAGTTTTACAAAAATATGTGAAACGTCAGGTCTAAAGCTGTGACTTACAGGTTGTACATTTCCAAATTACAGCCGTGCTATTTAGCACCGTAATGGGTATGGTATGGATCGGGTCACTCCCAACACCCCTCTAATTTATTTATTTTTTTAATAATAACTTATCCTTAATTGAGAAATTTAAAAAAAAATTTTAAAAAAAAAAAGAAAAAAGATAAGTGAAATGTGAACAAAATATATCTACATTTCATTTAATTTCACACACATTTTTTCTTCTCATTTCTAAATCTCTTTCTAAATTTTTCATCCAAACACAGCGTAACTAAATGTAACAAAATTAGGAAAAACTATATGCAAGTGAGAGAAAATCAAAAAAATTACCCACATAAGGTAAGTTGTTTTTTTTTTTTTTTTTCTCTCCCACCTACCTATAATTTCTCCATAAAATTATATAATTACAATATCTTCAAATAATTTTTGTTAGTATTAATTTGTTTTAAAACATAAATAATTTAAATAATCAAAATGATATTTATAATGGACGTCACTAGTCCACACAGCTCCATTCGGGGACAACCCAACTCCTTAAAAATAATACACATTTAGGTCCACGATAGATAAAAAGGAAAATTATTACTCTCATTAACTATTGTACTATATCATTTTATTTTTTTAAATTAAAAATTATAACACTTATGTTTGGTTTGCATTTGGGAGGTGAGTTTTAGAAGAAAAAAAAAAAATTTAAATTGTTTGGTTTGAGTTTTTCTCAAAAAAAATTCAAAATCACTTTTTCTCTCTTAAACATCAATCACTCACTTTTTCTCTCTCCTCGCTCCTTCTTAATCACTTTTTCTCTTACACACATCAACTCAAATTCTCCCAAAATATCAAATCATCCCAAACTCCTAAAAAAAAACTCTCCCAAAATATATAACCAAACAAACCAAAAAAATTTCTAAACTCTCTCTCCAAAAAAATTTTCAAAAATAACTCTCCCAAAAACAAAGCAAACAAACCTTTAATTTTTTCTATTTATTTATTTTTCAATTTGAATCTTAATAATAAAAATATTATTTCAACTATATGAACAATTTATGCTTTATCTCTTTAAATTATCATTCAATGTCACTGTACCTCTCAATTAAAAAATATTATATTTTGTCACTTAAAACTATCAATTTGTATGAATTTAGGAGTTGTTTGGGATGACCTAAATAAAGCTCCATTTGAGAAGAAAAAAGTCAGGCTTTTTTGGCTAAAATAGCCACAAAAAACAAAATAGGCTATTTTAACCACAAAAAACAAAACATCAAATCTAACCCATAATCATTACAATCTTCTCTCACAAAAAAATTCAAAAAAGTCAAAAAGTCAAAAAGCCCTTCCCAAACCAGGCTAAAATAGCCAAAAAATCAAAAAGCCAGCCCACTTTCCAAACGGAGGCTAAATGTATTTTTTGTCTTTTTACGAAAAGATGTGTAAAAAAGTAGAGAGATGATGTGATAAAAAAAGATAAAAAGATAAATTATTTTTAGGTTGCCAAACTTGGCCTTAAACTTTCCATTCAGGACTCGTTATTTACGTATGAAAAATATTCACTGTGTTTGATTTGAGTTTTTCTGGATTAAGTGTTTTGAAAACTGACTTTTTTTATTTTTGTGTTTTTTTGTTTTTAGTGAATATTTTTCAAATTTTAAACATTTTTTTTACTTTTTTAGATGCACCTTACTTAGATGTATCTAAAAAGTAAAAAAATTGTGAAAAAATATTTTAAAAAATTAATAAATACATAAAAATACAAAAAATGTATTGAATTCTTGTATTTTTTTATATTTTTGGTATTTAATGAATTTTTAAAAGATTTTTTTTTACAATTTTTTACTTTTTAGGTGTATATATGTTAGGTGTGTCTAAAAAGTAAAAAAATTACTTAAAATATTAAAAAAATTCAATAAAAATAAAAAAATACGAAAAATAAGAGAGCAGAATTTTCTGAAAAGTGTTTTGAAAAACTGAAAACCAAGCAATGCTATTGTGTCTAGGGGTGTGCGCGGTGCGGGTCGGTGCGGTTTGAGAGAAAAATAGAAACCGTATGGCGGGTGGCGGATTGATAAAAGTGTCACTAGAATTTGCCATTTTCCTTATCAAAAACCAGCGGTTCGGTTGGCAAATAATGGTGGATTTGCCTTGGCGGTTCGGGCGAATTGGCGGTTTATAAAAAATATAATTCAAATTACAAAACTTAAATCAAAGAGTAAAAAAAAGACGAGAGATACCGTGATGTTAAGCATCTTGAAAAGTGAATTGGAATCCAACTTTATTTTGGATTACTGACATCTTGAATTCCCCTCGAGCAGTAATGTAATACTATATTCTAAGGTATAGAACAACAAGCAAACTTAAGTAAAAAAAAAAATTTAGAATCTTATAAAACATGATTTAATAGCGGTGCGGGTCGGTGCGGTTTGGAAGAAAAATAGAAACCGGCGGATTGATAAAAGTGTCACTAGAATTTGCCATTTTTCTTACAAAAAACCAGCGGTTCGATTGGCAAATAATAACGAATTTGCCTTGGCGGTGCGATTTGGTGCGATTTCGACGGTTTCGGCGGTATTATGCACACCCCTAATTGTGTCTCAGAATTTGTGAACTGCTTAAAAAGAATTATTTTTCATTTCCAATTCTTTTCTCTTATTTCCTCGCTTGTTTGACACAAGTCAACAACCATGGTAGACTATGGCCCCATTTAGCAAGTTGTTTTTTTAGTTTTTTTTTTTTTTTTTTGGTAAAATAGTCAATAAAGATAAAATAAACTAAAATAATTAATAAAATAAAATATCACATCTAACTCATAATTATTTTATTTTTTCTCCCACAACTATGAAATTAACTACAAAAAAAGGAACTACCTTTTGAAATACAACTATTTTAATCAAACTAAAATAACTAAAAAGTCAAATAATCAGCTAAAATATTCAATTTTCCAAACAAGGCCTAGCGATCCTAATTTTTACCCGACTCTTGTGATATTCCGGACTCGGGTTTAATACTTTCATATTGTTGTCTATCTCTTTCTTCCCTTGTATACCTTTGAAGTTGATCTTTGGGTTGTTGTGGTTGTGTTTGGAACAGGTTGGTTACTTAGTTTTCAAACTTTGTATTGCCCGGATTTTTGGTCTTACGCTCGAGCGTCCTTTCTTAGCGGGCTATATAAATCTTGGTCATCCGCTCGAGCGGCCTTTCTTGCGCTCGAGTGGGAGTTACAAACTCTCAGTACTCTGCACTTCTACAAAAGTGCTGAAGGAATGTTTTTCACGATCGAGCGGCATTTCCTACGCTCAAACGGGTGTGCACTCGAGCGGGTTGTATGTTGTCTGCAAAATACTAGATGTGCGTATTTACGCTCAAGCGGGCCACCTTTGCACTCGAGCGGAACAAATCTTTATATCTAGCGTTCAAGCGTAAAACTCTCTGCTCGAGCGGACTGAGTGTATATCTGATCGCGAAAAGCACTTTTTCCATCACTTTTTCCATCACTTTTTCATATCTTTTCAACCAAAACCCTAAAGTTGAGAGCCTCTCTCTCTATAAATACTCTCTCTCTACATTTTTGCCTAGATCTGGTGATCTCCTCACCCTACATCCTTTGTTAAAATGTTGGAGCTTCTCAAGATATTCTCTTTGAACCTATTAAGGTTAGATTTCGGCACTTTTGGGATTTCTCTCTTGCTTGGCTCACCTTCTCTCTTTAAGGTAGGAATATTCTATGCTTTAGTGTGAGTTTTAACCTAGTTATTTGTGGTTGTTTATAAATGGTGGAAATTTGGGAAGTTTCTGGGTAAACTTAGGGTTTGGTCCCAAATTTAAAGAGGGGTTTCAACATTGTGTTACATAGATGATTATAGGGTTTTGAAAATGAGGTTATCTTGTGTTAGAATGGTAAATTTTAGCCTTTGAGTTGATATTTGAATAAGGGGGAGATTTACCCTAAATGTGTCTTGAATATTATTTGTATAAATAATGAAATTGATGTGAGAAAGGTGAAATTGGGAAAAAATATAAATGGATGGTGTAGTTAGATTTGTTTAATCACTCACCTATGGAATTTTAACAATTTATCTATTCTAAAGATTTTATATCTGTTTAAAAATATCTATGTTGGGCTATCGGTGGAGGATAGTTATGATTGTTGCAGAAATTGCATGAGGATTCAGTGAATTGAAACTAATCACTTAAGTTGTGTCATTGAATATGACGATGTGATTAAGACATAGAATATGTGTTTATGAATAGTCATTGTATATGACGATGAATTTAAATACATTGTATATGTATTGTTTTGGGAGAAAAAAGGGGATGTACTCCATTATTTGGGAGGAGATAGGGGATGGACTCTATTGAGAATTACGTTGGTCAGAGTATCCATGGTGGAAGTCCCGAAATCTTGTGAATACATGGGTGCCGATCCTGCAGACAAAATTTCCGTAAAATGGCAAGGTTGAAGTGTTTGTATAATAGTTATGTGGATAGGGAACCACTGAGTTGTAGTCTCAGTTGGATCATGTGAAAAATTATGTGTGTTTGTCATATGACTTGAAATGGAATGAATTAACTCGAAATGAATAAGTGAGAATGGATTGAGATATGAATATCGGTATTGAATGGTTAGGGGAAGAATGTAAGTTGATCATGAATATTGAACATTTATCTAACACTTATTCCTTAGTTAAACTTCATACGTTATATTAGACTGTCTCTATTGGGCTTTGGCTCACCCTACTTGGGAAACCATTTTTAGGTACTGGTGAGATACTTCCTCCAAGAACGTAGCTTGGAAGAACCTAAGGACTGGAGGGTCTATTTTGTTTTGTAAATGTTTAAGTGTTTATTCAAGCCAAGGGCTTTACATATATTAAGTTCAGATCTCTTTTGTTATAACCAAAGGATATCTTGGAAAGATGTAAGCCCGTAGGGTATTTATTTTGTTGTTATAAATTAATATTACATGATATAGATTCAGGATGAATATTTATGA